CCTCCGGCACTCTCGCCGTTTGTAATGTATTTCTCGCAATTCCCCCTCATCCCTATTTGGACTACTGCTTCTTTCTATTCTAGCCAGTTAGTCATCACCCCCACTTCCCCTCATCCTCCTGCCCCTCTGGGCCTCGCCCACTCTACCTCCTTTCGGATGTATCACAGGTCTTGCCCTATGACCTTCGGTACCGCTCCGCTCCCTCTAACCCTTTGTTCCCGTTCGGACGTCTTCGTTCCGATTCGGTCACCCTTTGTTTCTCCTTGTGCTTTTGCCCCTTCCTTATATATATCGGCGCTTGTACATACTCGTCTGGTTTTCAGTCCGAAATCGACCTGAAATGCCCCCAAGAGACTTCCTGCTCACCTACTGTGAAATTAAGGACCAAATGGACAAACAGCAATGGCACAGCGTGTTAGAGATGGGCGGAAACGGACGACTCCGGAGTGGAATCGGAGACTTAGCGTGGAGGGACCTTGGCCTCAGCGACTCAAGCGGAGCGCTGTGCCATTGCTGTTTGTCCATTTGGTCCTTAATTTCACAGTAGGTGAGCAGGAAGTCTCTTGGGGGCATTTCAGGTCGATTTCGGACTGAAAACAGACGAGTATGTACAAGCGCCGATATATAAGGAAGGGGCAAAAGCACAAGGGGAAACAAAGGGTGACCGAATCGGAACGAAGACGTCCGAACGGGAACAAAGGGTTAGAGGGAGCGGAGCGGTACCGAAGGTCATAGGGCAAGACCTGTGATACATCCGAAAGGAGGTAGAGTGGGCGAGGCCCAGAGGGGCAGGAGGATGAGGGGAAGTGGGGGTGATGACTAACTGGCTAGAATAGAAAGAAGCAGTAGTCCAAATAGGGATGAGGGGGAATTGCGAGAAATACATTACAAACGGCGAGAGTGCCGGAGGCGGTCCGCGAAGCTCGGGGGTTGCAGAGCTTACGGAGGTTACGGAGGCGGGGTTGGAAGTCCGAGGAATATTGGCAATGGTGTTCACGTAGTATGAGGTCACCAATGCAATGGACTAAGACCGAGGTGGAGTCAAAGTCCGAGGTATGGACTATGACGGAGGCTCGGAGTAAGGTACGAACGGTGTCCGAGTGTGAAGTACGGAACAGCGGTGGATGGTCGTAACTTGGCGGAAGGGTGGCGGAGGAATGAGAGAGGGGAAGGTAAGGAAGAGTAGTCAGGTCCGAAGGTGGATATCGGAACGGACGGAGATAGCGTAGGGGATGACGGGAGGGTGGAGGTGTGGTGAGGGGGGAGCGGAGTTGTAGGAAGGGTGGCGAGTAGGGCGATGTTCGGTCCGAGATGAGTATCGGAACGGACGGAGAAGGGGTCGGAGAGGTAAGAGGAGGGGTGTGTTGCCGAGACCGAAGGTGAGTATCAGAAAGGCAGCGGTAGGTTATGACTCTGGAGGTGAAGAGGGTGGAGGTCCGGAAGTCGGGTCGGGGTCGGGTATGCACGGATATGACACCCTTGTCTCCTCTGAGGAGAGTTTCATCCCAGAGTCTTATTCCAAGGTCGAATGCAGGTCCCCCTAATCCACGAATCAAGCAGTCCAGATGGACTTTGTCCAATTGGGGACCTTTGCACCCTTGCGAGGTGAGGAACCCCAGTAGTCCTATGAACCACTGCCAGAACAATTCCATGTCATTCTCCCCTGACCATTTCTTGTCAGGGAAAGCCAGCCCATTTTTTAGAGCTTCAGGCTTCACTCCCTCTGGGTAGGGAGTGAGTATTCTCACTTCGGCCATTCTTATGGCCTTTTCGTACCATTTCTCTAGGTACTCCTCTTGCTCCCCTGCCTTCGTGGGGTCGCTATTCAATGGAGATCTCTCCTTTGGGGGGGTTTTTGCTGGGGGGGAATTTTCCTTGCAGCGTTTCTCTGGTTTCAGGCAAACTTGCCTGAAGTTGTATCTGGATTTTCTCATTGTTTTGAGAGAGTGTGGTTGTGTTACCTCTCTGTTCGAGAGGTTCATCAAAGGTAGATGTTTGGCTGAACCCCCGGTACGTGCCGATTCTCCTCCTGATTTCTGAACGGTGCCTTCTTCTGGCATCGCCTTCTCCTATCCTTGGGAGAAGGATCTCCTTCACATCTCTGTTGAGTCGCTGATGATACTCCAGTGTACTTTCACTGGTTGTTCTTTTTGTGAAATTTTCATGAGTTTTGGTTTTGTCCTGGCCCATGGCCCAGGGGTATTTTTTTGTTTCCTCACTATTTTGTGAGAAGTTTATCTCCTTCAGCAGGTCCATCTGCTTGCTGATTTTGTCAGTCAATGCATCGATTGTGTTGGCCATTCTTTCTAGACGAGCCATGCTATTATGGCTCATTTCCTCGATCTTTTTTTGGATCGAGTTTATCGTGTTTATTATGCGTGATTCCTGGTTTTCCAGGAGGAAGTTTGGCTGGGTGAGCAGTGACTCTCCCCAGTTGACATTGCCGCTTCTGGGGGTTCCAGAAGGGGTTCTTGGAGTAAAAACTCCATGCTCGCTTTGTTTAGGTGAGGCCATTGCAGAGGGTGCTTCCCTTTCATAGAGGGGTCTGTTTGCTGGTTTTTCCTTACTTTTCCGTAAGGCTTCCTCAGCAAACTCCCTCATTTCGGTTCACCTCCTCCAAGGTTGGCAACCTTGCCTTGTCTGGCATGGTGTGGGGTAGTGTGAACAGTGGAAGTTCTTTTGGAGCTTCCACACTCTGGGAGATCCTGCTCTCAGGGCATTGTTTTGCACCTTCTCGGGCTTCTAGCCTGAGAAGAAGTTGGTCTTCGTTTTCTGTCCTCCATTCAGACAGAACCTGGAACAAGCCAGTAGTTTTTCAGATAGCTGACATGGAGGTTCTTCCCTCTGTTTCCCTTTGTCTGCCTTTGGGGCTTGACTTGGGGACATGGGGGAGGACTCGAGGGGATAGTGGGGCCCTGGAGTTTCCTGCAACTCTATCCAATCAGCTTTTTGGGCTGATCATTTGGTGCTTACATGTTTGTCGTGCAAGTTGATCACCTCCTGAGGAGGTGAGGGATCTTCCCCAGCTTGGGTTAGATCGATGTGATGTGGGGTTCTAGGGGTATTGGGCCCTGCACTTACTCCACATAAGTTTCTAAAACCTTCAGGGACCAGCCCTGAGGTGGTTGCTTTTTCCGGATTGTGTTGATCCTCGACGTCATCTGATGATGGCTGTTGATTTGAATCTCCCATGATGGGAGATTGCAGTTTCTTAATAAACCGCTCGTTTTTTTATTGTCGCTGCAGATGTGACCTTGCCCTTGCAGGCGTGTGTTTAGGTGCCATTGGTGCTACCAAGTCAAATTGTTAAGATGTGATAGGTTTGGTGGGTTGTGTTGTAAAACACACCTCATACACTTAAAAAAGTGTGAGGTCTCAGTGGGTAGCTCAGCACACAGAGCCATAAGTGATACAAAGATGTGTATTTTAGGGTGTGTGTAAGTAGTTAACTGGAGGTTCCCACTTACCCATGTGACTATATGTATTTTGTAATTACATATGGCTCGGGGTTCAGGGCTATTGCCCTGACACCCAGGGAGTACCCACTTCATCGAGGACAATGTAGCCCAGGCTATGTCATCACATCCGAGGCAGCAATCAGATGTCCAGAGGAAAACCCTCCTCCAGGGCAATAACTCTACCCTTGAGGAAAGGGAAAGTGACATGGTAATACGCCATTGAGGCACCCATGAAAACACCTTCCCCCAACTCAAGGCCTTGCACACAATATTGTATGCAAAGAACTGCAAGTAACAATTGTGGAAATCTCTACTTCATCAAAACCCACATCCACCACTGCTCATGTGTAAACACCATTTACACACGAATCCTCATGGAACAAGTGAGGAGGAACACCAAAGACATATAATCTTTGGGTCAAAATTTATTTCGAAAAACTCCTTCTCTTCATCACTTTCCCCCCCGTGATACCCATGTATCGCCATTCACTTCAAAGTGATGGCCCCACACCCATTTATTCCCTCAATTCCTCTCACCAACATGTATAAATCATCCACTTTAAAGTGGTGACAATAAAACACTCATTGATAATCTCAAACTCAATGTAACTCATTCTTTTAATTTTATTCTCTTCATCATTAACCTTGTATGCGTTGCAAATGCAATGCAAGGAGAATGTCAGGGCAATAGCCCCAAACCCCAAGCCATATGTAATTACAAGATGCATATAGTCACGTGGGTAAGTGGTAACTTCCGTTAACTGCTTACACACACCATAAAATACACATCTTTGTATCACTTACGGCTCTGTGTGCTACCCCACTGAGACCTCACAGATCAGTTGTCATTGGTGAATGGTACACCACAGAATTGTGCACCCCTGCAGCATTCACAAATGGGGTACATCTCTTTTATTCGTATTGGGATCTGTGGCAGTTCTGTAGCGCAACTCAGGATGTCCCATGTCCGTTCAGCTCGAATTCCGTGATACACACATAGGGCTCCTAGCAGATCGGATAACACTCGGATATCCGCAGATGTATCCGAAAATCCGCGGATGCGGATTTGGCTTTTAACAGGATAATATCTGCGGTTTCTAATCCGCGGATCTATTGTCGCTACTGTTCTAGATATCCCTCCTATGTTTCTATATTTTTTTCCAATTTTTTCAAGTCTTATTTGACCACCCAGGCCTGTTATTCCCAAATTAGGCATTTGACCTCCAAGTTTTCCACCATTCTCCCCATATTTCCATCAGTTCTCCACCAATATGGACAAATTTGGGATTGTTAGAAAGCTCTCGTCAAGGACAATTCTGACGAAATGCAACTTTGGAACATTTTATCTACAATCCGCGGTTGATCCGCATATCCGCGGATTTCTAACCGCCGGATACGGATTTTATTTCAAACCTCTAAAAATCCGCGGATTCTGATCCGGATCCGATCCGATCCGATCCGCTAGGAGCCATATACACACATAAGAGACTATATCGAGTTGTAAATCGCCATACGGATGCGTCCTCAGACAGTCAGACTGGTGAAAAATTGGGATTGTAACTCGTTCACTTGTACAGACGCGTACTTAATTTGGAATGGAAACATGATGAGTGTAACGACTTGTCGAGTAACATAACAAACAAGAAGGATACTAATCCTCAGACTCGTGAATGGGAACTGAGGGGAACGAAGTTTTAACAAGCTCCGTTCATGGAACATCAGTGTCAGACAAGCCAACAATAGAGTCCATCAGTCAAACAGAATAATTAGCCTCAGAGATATGAGATGGTCATGTTAGTGGAAGAGGTGATGTTAGTGGAAGTCAGGGCTGTCCCGTCAGGTGCAACGATGTTTTGAATGAACGCTCCCATCAGACCTATCTCCCCCCCCAATGCGTCACCAGCCCACGTGTTGTAGAAATTTATACTGCCCACAAAAGACTGAGAGCGGGGTCCCTCGATACCCCATGATGGCGCGAAACAACGAGGAGTGTCAGCTGAAGGGATGTATCCGCCCGTCGCGTGGCCAGAGGTTAAATTCTCAACAGTTGCGTTGTATCCGGCCCCCAACGCTTCTACAGTTATCTTAGCCGTATCCCCGGCAATGAAGGATACTGCCGGGGGAATGGGTCCCAGTGCTGGTCAGGGTACAGTAACGAAGAAGCAATCAACACACTGTACGAAAGTCAGCCTCATTGGGTACGTACCAAAGACTTTAGTCCCATTGGAATTAATTGAGAAACCGACAAACGCGGAGATACGACCATGATCGCACTGAAGGCTAACTACTGCATTCAAGTACTGGACGCTATCCGCGGTCAAATTGGTCGGGCCAAATTCCGGAATAACAAAGCTCGAGGTAGCAGAAGTATAATAGTTCTGCAAGTACGAGGAAGCGCACGGTTGAATGGTGAGATCCCGGGTTATACGCATATGAGTATTAAGCCTGAGGCGCGATAGCTTACTTCACTGGGGAACGCACCCGCGAATCCCTGATTGCTGTATCCAGGGGTGTCCCTTAGCTCTCGGATGAGATTGGCAGTGGGATGGGCCGTGACAGAGGCGGCGAAGGAAAGAAGGGTCGCGATGAAGCTAGTTGTTGCGAAGTTCAGAAACATCTTGTAACTGTTTAGGTTTTCAATCCATCGGAGGGTCTCCAGTCTTTATATCCTTTGGCAACCCCTATATACTGCGGCCAGAGTCGCAAGCCGCAGCTCAATTAGTACATGGTGATATTCATAGACATTGTGTTGATATATGGTGTATTGACGATACATTTGTGCATGCTACAATCATTGTGATTAACGAAATCTTCATGTTTATTGGTTTGTCTGATGCGGTGTTGATGCGAACATCACTGATACCTTCTTCCGGTTACCATTTTTCATACATTGATCCTTGCTGACCACCACATGTTATGGCTGCAAGCGATATTATTGATATGGGGGTAGGGCTCCTAGCGGATCGGATAACACTCGGATATCCGCAGATTTATCCGAAAATCCGCGGATGCGGATTTGGCTTTTGACAGGATAATATCCGCGGTTTCTAATCCGCAGATCTATTGTAGCTACTGTTCTAGATACCCCTCCCATGTTTCTATATTTTCTTCCAATTTTTTCAAGTCTTATTTGACCACCCAGGCCTGTTATTCCCAAATTAGGCATTTGACCTCCAAGTTTTCCACCATTCTCCCCATATTTCCATCAGTTCCTTGCCTTGCTTTGCCAAACCTGCACAGCATGCACGCATTTCAGCAACAGAATGTGTCCAATGCATTTAAAATCGATGAAATGAAGATGTAGTTTGCCAGAAAGGATGTTGTTGTTGTTATATCAAATTTGTTACTCCCGCGGTCTCGTTAGCACGTGACAAAGCGGCACATCCCACTGCATTACATCAGTACATGAGTATTGAGACTGAATTGACCAATAAATCATTGAGAAAAATGCAAAATACTTTTTTGGACACGAGTCTTTTGGGTTAGTGTGGCTGTCCACCTCATGTCTGTGCACAGTGCTGGTCATTGTCCGGAGGGGTGTCCAGACTGTTTCCCATGGTGTCAACACACTGTGCGTAGTTGGATAGCCCCTTCAAATAGCTTCCAGAATATATAATTTGAGACTAAATTGACAAGCAAGTTATTGAGAAAAATGCAAAATACTTTTTTGGACACGAGTCTTTGGGATATCAGTGACCCGGGAATTTCGATGACTTCAATGACTGTCAGTGAAATTTAGTGGCCCAAGCACTATCCCAAAGACTCGCATCCAAAAAAGTATTTTGCATTTTTCTCAATAACTTGCTTGTCAATTTAGTCTCAAATTATATATATTCTGGAAGCTAGAATTTGATGGGTTGGAGGGAGGATGTGTGGGCAAGATGCCGCATGGAAGCCAAACTTAGTCACTTGGATCCTCCCAATTTCATAGTCACTGGCCAAGCACTCAGCTTGCTGGTGTCAGTAATCCACCAAGCAACAATGGAAAGTCGCACCTTAGAGATCTTGGACCAGTGGATAAATATCTCGGAGCTTGACCTCAGTGATGAAGAAAAGCTGTCTCTCATTCCAGTGGTGAGCACATGCAATTCATGGTGGAATGCGAAGTGTGAGCAGACAAAAGCCCAGTGTCATATCCCAGATCTTCTGCCTCCCTCTGCTCTATCCCTACATGACTCCTATGACCTCCACCAGCCCTCCCAATCTCTCTCTGCTGCCTCCGGTTGATGCCAATGACCCTAGGACTACCTCCTCCGACTCTCTCCAACTCTGCCACCCACCTATGTCCGCATCACCTCCAGACCTCTACCACCATACCTCCACCTCCTTGGACCCCTTGTTTGAAGGAGATGGGCTTGCTTGTTGTTGATGAATCCCAACTTGTCATTCCACCCTCCTTCCTACCTCCAGTCTCCACACTTCCGGTACCTCCTCACCTCCAGTACCTCCTCATTCCTATCTTACCTCTGGTCTTGATAATCTTTTTGTTTTATCATTTGATATTTTCTACAACCCCAATCTTCCAGACTACAACTTCCAGGCTCTGGACCTTTCCAGACATCTTTCCCTGTAGTTCCCTGCTTGTTCATAGACACTTTCAGACCTTGTGTCAGAGTCCACACGTCTATTCGCAGCATAAGAGTATCCCCAGGAAACTAGTCGATATCAAAGCTGGGGGGCTAGCCCAGCTGGCATAGTAGCCTTATGTACATGAGTTCTGCTAACTCACGAGAGTGCAGTTACATTGGGAAGATGGTAACTGATAGAAGCATGACATCAAATAGGAAGATAGAAGATGTGGGAAATGAGGGAATATTGGGTAAGGGGTGATGTGATAGCGAATATAGTGCAATGAGTTATATCTGCATTCTAACTACGTAATTATCTCACGCAATCTTGGCTAATGATTACCTCACTGATATCGCTTAGAGTAAAGGGGGGCCAGATAACCAGGTGTCCCCTGACACCTTGCCATTCAGTTGGCTTTTATTTCTCTCACTCCACAAAACCTCAGACATAATTAAGGCTTTTCGCCTATTCCTATTTGTCTTGTGGACTTCTTTCTATTTACTTCCCTTTCCCCTTGGTAACCTTTGTTTACCTTTGGATCCAATTGTTTCCACTATATGTACATGCATACCCCTCTAGTAAATAGTCCCCCCCAGTTATAATATAAACAGTCTTCAGCCCTCCAACACCTCTTCCAGGACGTCTATCGCGTCCCACTTGTCTGCTGCTCCTAAGAACTGAGTAACAGGCGCTCCCAGAGATGCCTTGGTATAACACCCAAGAAATTGTGTGATGAATGATTGACCCTCGCTAACGCCTCTTCTATTAAGTAGTGAGGGGGGCCTCCGGCCCCCTTCTGCTGGCAGCCTCGGTTCCTCCGTTGCTAGCTCCCCTGACAAATGAGGACAACAAGAACGTACCAGTTACAGTGCTCCATTCCGAGTCGCTGAAGCCAAGTCCCTTCAACATCCCATCACCCTTGGAGCTCTGCCCCACCTCTGGTCTGTCTCTGACCCACCGTCGGATGACCTGGAACACCGAGCTCCACCTGACAGTGTCGCTGTAGGTGGGCACAGCTGGTACTGCACAAACAAACCAAATATCGCGATTTCCCCATCCCAGCACATCCCCACTTCACCAAACACATCATACACGTCCTCATATACTATTCCTACCCTTTCATGATTTTTCCCCATTTTTCTGGACACATTCCCAGTCCCCACAGACCAATTCCCATGCCCACCCAGCAGTGTGGCCACACTCACACTGGATTTCACTTATCTCAGCAACCACTGCACCGATTTGGACGATATTGGTACCGTTGGAAACGCGCCATTTAGGAGTATTAGGATCCATGATTAGCGGGAGTTGATTGGTGATGGATAGAGTTGGATATTTTTTGGCTGGAAATCATTTATTGCTTTATCGTTTTTCTTGATTATTGTTTTCCCTCTCATTTTCCGATATTGTTTGTTGCCGATATGACCCGCCTAAGCACATGGGACTCATCGCATTTTTTTCTGATCATTTCTCATATATACCTGTACATGAGGATGTATCTACCTTTCCCCTTGGATTGGAAACCACCGAGTTTGCCCCTCCCAAGCTAGTAGGGAGTAGTACGACCAAGAAGATCAGCAAGAAGACCTCTAGATTAGTCCTCACCTTAGTGTCACCCAGAGAGGTGGGGCAAGAGATTGATTAGAGTACACCATGCACTGTAACACACCGGACCATTACTATTCCCATTACCATTCTCATTACCCCTTTTTTCCTGACCTGTTGGATACCAAATCCAGTCCGTCCTTTCCTGTTTTCCTAGTAAGTTAGATCCCTAGCCCGCTTACATCGTGTCAGAGTACACCCACTTCCGGCCACTTCCAGCCTACTTACCATCATGATCTGATTCCATGATCTATGATCACCCAGATTCCATGATCCATGATCCCTGTACAGCCTTATGATCTGATCCCACTCCAAGATCCATGTTCCATGATCCATGATCCAACACAGCCAGACAAACCTGGATCATTGATTGTTGGTATGTACAGTGCCTCGTAGATTAGCTGTGTGTGTGGGCTACAGTATATTACACCCTGAGTAGCGAGCAGGAAGACCAGCTTTCTTCTCTCATTTCCCCTCGCTGCTCAGGTATGTTGTACATAGTAACATAGTGGCTGGAATACAACACATTTCCCCTCGCTGCTCAGCTGGAGCCTGTGTCGCCTAGCACACCTCGCGGTTCTCCTATTGAGACCGACCCAGACCTTCCTAGTCTTACCTCCACTTCCACTGGATCCCTTGACCTTAGCTCCGAGCAGCTCGGTATCCTGACACATCGCCTGGATAGCAATCAACCTATCCTCTAAGGAAAGATGTTCATGACACCCAGCAGAAGAAGCTGAAATGAAGGAGAGCACTGCAGTCCACAAACGATCTTGGGTGCAAGTCACACAAGATGATGGCAATGAGGGATTCTCACCAGGGAACTGGCGGTAGAACCTGCATCAGTGTCACAACCCGGCGTTCCCTGGGGTCAGATGACCTCCTCCCTGACCTTCTCCCATGCCCGAACACTCCCCGCACACTCTGCTCACTGCCCATCGCCATCTAACCACTTCCCACCACCTCTCCATGACCCCTCTCCTAATTGTCATTGAACGACCTAGCAGCACAGAGTGCCACGACCTTTTGTCCCATGTTTCACCCACGTTTGACCTTTGCTGTCTTAAACACATGCTTCTTGTTTGTTTTCCTTCTTCTTTTCTCCACCCGCAATCTCTGCGAGATCTGGCGACTTATTCCCTATTCAGTTCCCTAGCGCTTATATACAGCTTGTAACTAATGCTTGTACTGCAGTTCGAAATCAACTAGAAATTCACCCCTAAGCATAGTTCTGTTCCCCGTAAGACCTCCGACCTTCTGAAGTATCGGGACCGCGTCGAGAACGGGGCGCAGCGCTCCTCCTCGAGTCATTGAAGCTGAAATCCCGGCTCACTTGCCTAAGTACCTCAGCCTCGAGATCAGTGAGGTTATTCCTTGCTAAAAGCTTGGTCATGTGTAGGACGCCTGTACCACTAGTGGGCAATGTTCAGTCACCTATGGCTACCATTGGTGAAGCTTTGCACAGTTCTGACAATCAGCCAAAGTGTTGGGTGGGAGGCATGCTGCAGGGA